AACATTTCATCCACATGCCAGGATTCATGGGCCTTGTCCCCCTAGCGAGGGTTACAAGGCCTTCAAAAGTTTAGGTTCGCAAAATTGGTGCGTCAGTATTGACGTCTCACTTTACATCAGGCCTCTCATTTTAAAACTCATATAAATGACATGTCTACAATTCGTTTGGGTGTGCTTCCTCCCAGTAAGTATATGGTTCTGTCTCAAAAGGTCTAATCTGATGTTGACCCCACCTCAGGTCTCCACCGACGATTCATCAGGACGAGACCTAACCGGGACATTAGGGAGGAGCGGCTTAGGCAAGGACAGCTTCTTGCGGACAAGAACCGAAAATAGATAGACGGTGGATGTTTCATTTGTTATGCCTTTTGGCATGCACATTCTGTTTGTTATGATTGAAGATTCCTGCAGAGTTCAATTTCAACTATTGTAAAAAACCGAGCATGCGCTCAGATCGCAGAAGCGCCTACCCTCTGATTCGAAACGATCCGCAAATAAGCAAAGGGCATACCAGACACCCATCCACCTGTTTTGAGCCATGCTCAAAATATTAAAAGAGCACATCAAGCGCCAGGTGCTTCGGCGTCTTTACCACAATGGCGCCGGTTGCAGAGCTGACAGACCCGTGACTGGCACAAGCCATGGCAAGGCCTTTGGGAACCAGGGAATCGATATTAAAGAAGTAGCGCAGGATTTGGAGGCGGGTGGTGAAGGTGAGCAGAGTTAACTGAAAACAATGATGATGGAAGTTCGTCGCATGAGGCATCCATGTCCCGTGTATATAATTTTGAGTGTGCTGTAGTTGGCTACTCAAAAAAAATTGTTACTTGGACGTAACTAATCGCAAATCTCTTGCAGTTTCCACGGCCCACAAGCCAGCAGGCGCCAGTTCATTCTTGTTCAAAAGTGAGGATTCTAGATTTTCTAGATTGCTCTGAAGCAGCAATACTGAAGCCAGACAAGCGGTACGGCATATTTAATTGACGGAGCTCAAAACGACTGGGGACGCTTTCATTGAAGCTTGTTTTGCTGCAATACACGCATGTATTCAGCAGAACAAGCTTCAGTGAAAGCGTCCCGAGTCGTTCTGAGCTCTGTCAATTAAATATGCCGTATCGCTTGTCTGTCTGGCTTCAGTGTTGCTGTAGGCGACAAAACATGTGCCCAGTTTTGTCACAAGAGGCATATTATGTCACGCACATGTAATTTTGATTTTATCCGGCTTAGTGTGCTGTAGGTGGCTGGTCAAGGAAATTGGTAATTGGACGCAACTAATCGCGAATCTTTCTGGCAGTTTCCAAGGCCTAAGAGCCTGCAGGTCCCAGTTTGCTTTTCCTCAGAGGTGAGAATTCCAGATTCCCGAAGCAGGAATACTGAAGCCAGACGACCGGTACAGCATTATTAATTGACGAAGCTCAGAACGACTGGGGGCTCCTGCATTGAAGCTTATTTTTCTGTAATACACGCGAGCGACATTGACGTATGCCCGGTTACGTCGCAAGAGGTTATCTATGTCCCGCGCATGTAATTGTTTTTTAATCTTTCCGACTTAGTGTACTTGACAGTGACAGCGCAGGAAAAATCAAACTCACACCAGACACTCAGGAAGAGAAGCACACGCGCTGAACTTACAACTCTTGTGTATTCGACTGCTTCATTTTTCTCTTCAGCGTCTGGGTTGACTTTTCAGAACGTGATAACTAGAAGAAGTAGCACGAAATACAAAGGAAAATTCCAAAGAGAAGGCAAAAGAACAGTAAAAGAGAAGACAAATGAAGAAACGGAAAAAATATCTATACGAAACATATTTACAAATCGCCCCTCTCCGTCAACGCTATCATTTAGATAGAAATTGGAGCTCTTTGGTCGACAGCGCTATAGACGGACTACTTACACACTTGTCCTTCAGCTGTGCGATCCTTTCCGCTTCCATTATTCCTCTAGTCCATGTGTCTCTACTCCTACCTATTACAAAACGATATTCAAAATGTGCTCTACAGCCACAATTGCGACAATGGATTCCCAAGTGTCCAGCTACGACTCGGTGGGTGTTATAAAAATGCTCTCTTAAACGATCATTCAAACACCTTCTAGTCTGGCCTACATACTCTCTACGACATGAGAGTGGGACAGAATATACAACTACTTCGGTACAATTTACAAAGCTCTTTTGGTGGTTTTTCGAACAACCAACTTCCAGTGTGCCGATCCGTTTACCTTCCTGCACAGGCTTAGAAGCTTACTTGGTGCGAAACTTTATGTATATATGGAACAACGGCCTTCCTTTCCTTTTCTGTATTGCGTTTAGGTCGTTCACCCCATCTCATTCTCTTTAATAAATCCTCTGCCGCGGCTGTAAGTAATGCACTAGGATATCCTGTTGACTTTAACCTGGCGATATTAGCATCAGAGCTAACCTTAACGTGTGGTACATAAGGCGGCTCGTGCCGCCTTATGTACCACACGCGCAGACCTCCAGCGAGGTTGTCACACGTGGAGAAAGTCCATGGTGTACCGGGGTGTCATGGCAACGAGATAATGTTTTTTCGCTCTCGCACAGTTTCGCCGTTTGGCCGCCGGCAACACTGTCAGTCGCGGGCACGGTGGCAGCCGAATGATGCAGTCTTTCGGATGCCCGTCGGCCGAACACTATTTGATTCCTCGCGCCGTGCGTTCAGCCCCGGCGTGTCCACACCTAAAGAGTGAATCTTAAGGCCCGTTCACACTCTTGCGACCTCTTAAACCTGAGCTCCTTAAAACTTCTTAAACCAGAGAACACACTGGCGCCATCTATTGGGAAGCAGTGTAAACTCGGCGGTCCGGCATATTTTTTTATTTGTCGCGCATTATCCTTCCTTTCTTGGCTCGAAAAACTTTTTTCAATGTTATAACCGAGCCTTCCTATGAGTATTACGCACATTTGACCTCGGAAATCTCGCAAAACGTTCGATCTTCTGAAATGCAGTTCCAGGATCACCGCATAGATGGCGCCACAATGCCAGTGTGTTCCCTCATTCTAAAAATATTTAAGAAATTTTACCACTAAAGTTGAGGCTTGGGCGAGTTGGTACATACTTCGGAAATTAAAAACAGCGCGCTGTTTTTAATTTCCGAAGTATGTACCAACTCGCCCAACCCTCAACAGCGCTACGTCCGTGTCACTTCTTTGTCTGGTCCTCGTCTTTCCGCGCTGTTTTTAATTTCCGAAAAATTTTAACAGTTTTAAGAAATCTCGTCTCTCTCAGTCGTACTCGGTCGCAAGAGTGTGAACGGGCCTTTACACCGTGGTTAGGTACAAAGCAGGAACTGTGAAGCCGGACGAGCGGATAGGTATATTTAGTTGGCCGAGCTCAGAATGACCCGTGGCAGTGGAATGGAAGCTTATCTTTCCACAATCAAACGCAGACATAATTTTGAATCTATCCGGCTTAGTGAAGGACTGCTACTTGTTGCGAACTAATCCCAAATTTTTATTTTGCAGTTTCTATATGGCACTAGCAGGTGCTGTTTTCATTGAAAGGTGAGGATTTCACATTCTGTTTTCAAACAGCGAGTTTTTGAATGAGGGTCCTAAACAATTAACTTTCTTTTGCAGTAAGTGCCAGATCCTCCAGTTCAGGAATATTTTAAATATATTTGGTATGGATAAACCCAATGTTTTGCTTCTTTATTCATAATTTGACAACAGCAACATTTTTTTTATCACTCAGAGATACACACAAGAAGAGACTGCGTTGCGGAGGAATGCCGCGCTGAACGTGATCTTCCAACTCGTATATTGTTTTATTGGTAGCCGATATAATATGTTAGATTTTAATATCCATAATACGCTAAGTACACTGGAATCGTAAACCCTTATTGGATCCCCATAGACACATGGGGATCCAATAAGGGTTTATATGGTATTGGATTCCAATGTTTTCAGCGTATTATGGATATTGGAATCCAATAACAAACCCTTATTGTAATACAATACAATAAATGTAATGTTTTCCAATACATTGTCCATATCGTATTGTGATACAATAAAAAGATATTGTTTACCAATATCCATAATACGCTGTTCATATTGGGGTTTTCCAATGGGGATACAACGAAAATGAATTCTAAATCGTAAACACATATAAAAAAAAAACACCTGGCGCACTGTGTGCGTCTTGTTTATCTAGAGTTGAAGCGTCGTAGCTCTGTTTGATTTCAGAAGCCTCTCCACAACTGTTTTTGAGAAACGATATAACCTGGTATATGCGCGTAGCTCTACAACTGTTTTTTAGAAACGATATAACGCGGGACATGCGCGTAGCTCGAATATCTGTATACTGCGCATATGTTGGCATTATATGAGTGTGCTCTACTTTTTGTGGGCATGTATGGTGTAGTAGTACTCTAGTTATCGGTTTGTTTCCACCTGGCTACGAAGTGGCGTGGTTCAACAGAGGAGTCCATCTCTTGGAGCTTTTTGTTTTCCTCTAGAAAGTCGGTAACAATGCCCTTCATACAAAAATGCGGTGTTTAAGTTGAATTTTATACTGTATTGTATCTTTTGATGGCATGAGTACTCAAACCTTTAGAAATCCTAAAGCGTAGTTGTGTGTATTACATGTTAGGGCGTATTCGCATCTACAGCACAGCGCTAAAACAGCGTTATAGATAAAGAACTGACTTTGCTCCATAGTAGTTGTGTATTAGCGCTCAGCTGTAGGCGACTCTGCCCTTTTCAACGCAAATAAACTACGCAGATCTAATTACTGAGCGGTAACTCAGCACTGATAGTAGCACTGATGCATCGTTGAATGTACTTTACTGCTGCGCTTTTTCAGTGAAACGGGCTTTACAGACTTGGCGGTAAGGTTTTTTCTGAAGAGCGGAATGCCAACGATAGATCCTGCCTGATCATTGCTCTTGCCTTATTGAACCACAGATGAAGTACTTTTCAACCTATTACCATCGTTTTGCCTCCCCATTTACATCTTTAGAAAAACCTCCGAACGTCGGTAAGCATGGCGGCTCGCATTGCGAACGAAGTGATACAATCGCCATTTCCGGACTTTGACGTTGGGAACAAATGTGTTTCTGAACTCATAGAAGGACGCTTGAAGAAGCTATCACACAAGGTGATCATTGTGAGTATGCGAGTCCCCTGCTTTATGTGATGATCATGCAAATCTCCAAAATTCGCCTGGAAAGTGTGCGAACAATGAGCTATTCACATAATGGCAACTTCTAGCTCCCGTGTTACGTTGGCGTAAACTTCACAATAATAAGATCAGCCATTTTAGCTTGTGCCTACGTGACAGTGCAGATAACATGCCTGTTATTTCTAAAACTTATGTAGTGCTTGCGTCCGCGCCTAACACCTCATTGATTTATTGAACGCCCAGTAGCATTTAGCGGTCTTCTGTTATTGCAGTGGAGTTGATAAACTGAGGGCTGAACTCCATGGAGCGAATTCGCGGCGAAGAACCTACGAACTTCACCCGACCGCAGGTTCGCTTTGCGCGCTGCGCAACAGCCACGCTTGTGATGCCACGCGCACAGTGAACGACCCTGGGAGAGATTCGTCGCTTCTTTTTCTCAATGAAGTTCGGTCTAAAACTAGAGAAGTAGCGTGACGCGTATAAGGAAAGACAATAAGAAGCTATAATAGGATCAACCTTCATTCCGTTTAAACGTTCAGCACTGTATCTAACATCGCTGCTGGGTATATAAGACAAATATATCGACTCAACCTGAATAACAATTTTACAGCTTGCTTGTTCAGGCTTCAATTTTCCGGAACAAAGATGTTTTTTTTTTGTTATCGGGCTTTTCCCTTACTATTTTAAAGCGTACCAATGTGCCACTCAACACATATGAACGGATTTTCTAGCAGCAGCTTCTTTAACAACATGTTTTGCGTTCGTCTATACGACACCCTTTCCGTTCCTTACTTTTTCTTTAGGTTGACGCCTACCAAAGTTTGACCGCCTCGCAGTTGTTAAAAAAAATACGTAAATACGCTGTAGGCTTTTATCAATACGGTGTTAAACCGGGGACCAAGGTGTGTGTGTATGTTGACAACACCGTTGAAAATGTAGCCGCGGCATTTGGTGTTATGTTTGCGGGCGGGACGCTCGTCATGGCGAAGACGTGGAAAGTGAGTACTCAAAACGCTTTAAATTGAATCGAAGATTCATTTAGGCAGTTTTTTTTTAAATAGTAAGTCTAATGAGATTTGTTTTATAGGGGAGTTGGTGTATACGATTGAAGACAGCCACTGCACTTTTCTACTAATGGACCTACAAAACGCGCCACAGGCTGCAAAGTGGAATATACCAACGATCATTAAGGTGCGCAAGTGCTTATCTGTTTAATTATTGGAGCATTTTACAGACAATAAAACAATGCTTTTACTTTCCTCGCCAAAATAAGATAGTAGGATAAAAATACTTCACCCTCGCCACAACAACAACAAAAAAATCATGGCATGTGTTTTTGGATGTTTGAGAAATCACGGTTGTTTTTCACTTGGAAGTGTTTGTGAACGAATTACTTTGATAACAAATTTTTTTACGAGAGAGTGAATCGGACTTGCTAACTCTGTAGTAGCAAAAGGGCCGATCAAGTCTTTCTTTGCAATTGCATCATTCGACTTGGCACTACCGGGTTTGAGATTGAAAGTCTCAGTATGCTCAACCATATATACATTAATTTTAAGGTTTAATTCCTTTCTTATTAAAAAAAAACTATCTCCATCGCCCTTGGGATTACATATCTATTGCGTTTAGGAATTCGAGTCCACTAGTTTCTTTCACCAGGCAACGGGCACAGCATTCTATCAGATCCTTTCTATTTCACTTCGCAGGGATTGTTCGCCGTAGGAGGTGCGCCTGGTTTCATCGACATTCTCCTTTTCCAAGATCTTCCTGATGCGTCCTTCAAACCCCACGTGCCCACAGAGACCGAGAAAGAAGTTGTGGTCATTCTGTACACGTCAGGGTCAACGGGTCTCCCGAAGGGTGTGGAAATATCGCACAAAGCGTATTGTGCCTCGTTCTACGCATACAGGTACCTGATGATGGAAGGGAACATCTATATCTGTTTTGAAAACAAGAGTAAAGTTCTGTAAGACCGGTAGTACGCATTTATTTTATTTTTGTGTAAAGGCACGGATGTAAATTATGCTCAGTATGTAATTTGTCAAGTTAATAAAAAAGGAAGGAGTGCATGTAATGAGCTTCGCATAAGCAGACCTTATATTAAATAATCACCGATGTCGACATGAAGGAACTGCAACTTCTTTTGTGAAAGTGGTTACTGGAGTAATAAAAGCGATAACCTGCCGAATAAAAAGATATCAGAAAGGAAGCTTGATCTTGCTTTATAAAATTAAAACTCAATGTAAACCAGGAACTGTATCCTAATAATACTTTTAATAATAATACTTTTCGGGCCCACATGGGTCAAATTTATTTTAAGCAAAATTACCACTAAAAATCTGTAGAAGTAAAATAAAAGTAGGAACCCGAATCTTTGTGCATCTCTTGTTTATATCTTTGTTTCTCTCATTATGTCGCACTTCTTGAGCAACTCATATTAAAAGCCAAGCACATGATATGTTACTTTATACAGAGTTAAATATTAAATTATATTGACAAGGGGATATCTGGTGCGTTCTTTCGTCTTTAAAACTTCCAATATTCATGCGTATCTATTCTGGGTTTCAGGTCTTCTAAAATTTGCACCAAAGACGATGTTTTCTTGGACTGGAATCCCTTCACCCATGTGTCGGGTTTCGCGGTAGCCATGTTTTCTATGCTTTTAGGTGCAAAGACTGTCATCACGGATCCCTTGATTTCGTACGAAGATTTTCTGAAAACTCTCAAAACCTTTAAGGTGAGAATAGTAAGATAGAACTAGAAATCCCGATCATATCGCAGAATGGTTTATCCTTACCAAGCCGAGTACTATACATTCATTAAAGAGTAGCAGACAGTGATTGGTTCTTATTTTACATTCCTCAACAAAATATGTTTAATGCGAAATCATTAACTGTCTCATGGAGCGAAGCCGGCGTTGCTTCTAACCGTCTGTAGCAGCGAAGCGGCAGTTAAATTCCCATTGGGCAAAAGCACAGCAACGCAGATGCATAGTCACGGAAGCCGTAGAGACGGCGGGGTTCGCCGCGCCTACGCAGTAGGGGAACGCGATATCACCGCCAGAGCGCAGTGTGCGATAGGAAGACAGGGCGGGCTGCTTGCAGGAATGCGCTGCGTGTAGGAAGGCTTTCGCATTCCTACACGTAAGCAGTCTTAAATGTCCTCCTGTAATGTTTTTTTATATATATAACAATCATGTTTTATTGTAAGCAGTGAGAGAGTGCAGGCGAGCTGGTAATCAATCGACATCTTGTAAACCCTGAGATGGGGAACGATAAAAAAACGGACGAACACAACAAAATCTCAAACAAAATCTCTAAGATTTTGTTGTGTTCGTCCGTTTTTGTATCGTTCCCCATCTCAGGGTTTACAAGATGTGGACGTTTTATTCCTTTTCTTGACTCAAGGCACGAAGCTATATCTGCGTATTGCAGTGGCATTTTTCATGGCACTAAATTTAGAAAACTAGGTTGGCGGTAATGTGTATTTGTTCTCGTTGTCAGAAAATAAAACGCTCCTCATACGAACATTATTGCGGTCGACATGAACTGTTTGGTGCCAAAAACGGACGCTTAAAGGAAGGTTTTCATAAATAAGAACTTTTTCTTAATCTTTATATGAGATATGTATTCAGTCTTCATCACACTGCGAAAGTTATTCGTGATAGGCCTTACGAAAAATATATATATCAAGCTAGCATACAGTACAATTCTCTATCCTAATTGCGGGCAAATAATGTGTATAGCAATAGCTTTTTTCCCTTCAAATCCCCTCTTGGTGGTTTTTGGCGTTGCGATTGTAACTTGCTTCTATAAGTTCCAAACATGCTGGCTTGGTTTCGCAGCAAGAGCATAGTCAAGAAGAAAGAGACCTTTGTCCCTCTTACGTTCAAATTCAAGGCTGTTTTTTCAGCGAAGTTTTGATGGCGAATATTAATTGGTTGTAAGTGGTGTCAGTAAATAAACTAATCAGTTTCACTACTTTAATTCAAAGTCAGAGCTGCTGCAGAAACTCCTACTTGTTTAATGAAATCCTCTAATTTTTTGCTTCTGGTTTTTGAAAATTTCAGGCCAAATTTAATATATGGCAGAATGTTTCACTCCGTATTCCAGACTATTTCAGAAATACTGGCAACATTTTCACCAGGAGCGTATATGATTGCTATATTTCTGATAACTTTGACATTGATTTGACACTATATATTCTCGAGCTTTCAGCGTTTTAGCGTTGTTAAAAAGACTAAGCCAAATAAGAGGTCAAGTACAAAACTACTAGCCTTCGATAAGTCTGAAATAAAAATTCTCGCTCACAACAATTATGTGTAACAAAAATAACGCATTATTTTGAATGAGAATGTTAGAAATGTTTCCCGACATGAAGCGGCTGTCTGGATGCTTACATACATTTTGGCTATTCAACATTTGTACATTCTTCAATCAAAGTGCCTGTGTTTCGGCGTGACAATAATACAAATAATTACCTTATTGTGCTTGGAAACGAAAAAGCACTCTACGATATGTTTGTTTTTTTTCTTTACAGGTATCTATATTTATTGGCTTAGCTGGCCGGATGGGGGATATTTTTCATAATGCTAGAAAAAACAACGATATTATACCTGGTGTAAAACGAATAATGGCAGGTGGATCGGTAGTAACGAAATTGTTTGCAACGGAAATTCGTGAAATATTCAACGTGGAATCACTCATAAATGTCTACGGCATGACCGAAACGTTTGGTATTGTATGTTGCTCACCTGTTGGTCAAATTACCTTTGACCATAGTGGAGTACCTCTGGCCGGGAGCAAATTCAAGGTATGTCTGAAATACCTCAACTGGTACATGCTTTCTTCATTTGGTAACACCTAAAAAATTAACTACCCACTTATTGTTCACATGCTTATTTAGTGTGATATAGGAACAAACAGTTTATTTAGATGTAGCAAAAAATGATAGGTTTATTTCTTTTATAATCTGCAAAGTCGGTACCGTAATGTTTTTTTAGAATCTTACAGGCGTTCATTGCAATATTGGAACACCGATCTTCCCAAGAGATTAAGACATTTCCCGCAATATGTATAGACCGACAAGCGGGGTTGACGTCCAGGAGCTGCGGCGGCGCTGCGATCGCGCGGGAGCCGGGTGTTATGGGCAGAAAGGCGCACGTTTCGCATGGGCGTCATAGCATTTCAGCATGCCGCGAAGCTATATTGTCGTTATTTGCACCGAAAAGTACAAACAAAAGTAGCAGAGTGAGTTTCCACAAGTTCCCGGTAGAATCTGAAAGGCGGAGAACGTAAATAATATCCGTTGATAGAAAAAAAAATGGTCGCCTCGCGCGAACGACCGTTTGTGCGGCACGCACTTTGTTGAATACAAGTGCGGCTTTCATTTCAATCTCCGTCCCGAGGCTTGCTTGCATGCAGGGAAACGGTCGTCCGATCGAGACCACCCGGATTTTGTTTGCACGGTGTTCGCGCACAAAGCACCGGCCAAACGCTCGTCAGAGGCTCGCTGCGCCCGTGCTAACAAGCAGGAGGGGATCGGCGAGAGGACGGCAGTGTTGTATGCGTTACCGAAAAAAAGTAATGGAACACTTTCCTCGTTACTTGGAAACAAAAGGTCCGCGGTACCGAGCTACGTTACCTAAAAATGAAAGGAACGCGTTACCGCTACCGATAAAAAGTAATACTTCTGCGTCACTTTTAAAATTATAATTTAACACGTTTTTTACTGTTTTGACGATACAGGATACAACATAAGCTCATATATCAAGGAACATTGTGTTGATGCAGAAACTGAACGTAATTACTTTATCTCTTTTTACGGCTTCACCCAGATACTCACGAGAAAAAACGCAAAGAAAAACGCAGAAAAATCAGCAATTCACATGGCTTGACGCCTAAAGAGACGGAAGACATTGGTGTAATTTCTTTGAGACTTGGGAAGTAGTAACGAGTAACGTACTTGAAATAGTAACGTAAGTACGTTACCTGTTACTGTGTCGAAAAAGTAATGGGTAGGTTACTTACTACGTTACTGAAAAAGTAACGGGCTTCTCCTAACGCCGTTACTTCTAACGTGTTACCGCCTAGACTGCACAACGGACAAAGCGTTACCGCTTGTCATGACTTGTGGTCATGAGGGCAGGAAAAATATCATACCTTGACTTGAAAACAATGAGTGTATTTAATCAATTAATAAATACACTTCGGCAGACCCCCAGTCTGCTGATCCCGCCGGCAGTGCGGAAGCCGACTCGAAGTAATCGTAGGCTTGGAGGAACCTGTATGCCTACACCATATCGGCCGTAAAGTGGCTTCGCGAAAAAAAAAAAAAAATAAACCACGATGTGAGTCGTCGACTTCGGTGGTAGCAACTTCATGTTGAATGCCAAGCAGGCCTTGTTTGAGGCGTAACGGCTCCGCGTGTCGGTCTATACGTAAATGGAAATAAGAATATTATTACAATAAAACTTATCTTGAAGGTACAGTTCAAAAATATCCTTGATGCTGGAGAAGCGTTTAATTGACCATGTTATTACTGTAGTTTTTAATGCAATCGTCGTGTTTTTTTGTGTGTGTATTTTCCTAAAAACGTTGAGTTGACGCTTTTTTTTCTATTTAGCGACTTTTATGAAGATGTTTCTATAAGTGCAGACTTCTGAACTTTGCCTCAAAATTATACTATTTCGATTGGCTTGTGAGAATGTTGAAAATGGCCAGCCTTCGTTTGCGCATATGATGTGATCAATGCCCATATGAAAGCTCATCAGTGAAGTTTTAACGCGCCGATAGTAAATATACGTATAAGCGAGAGTTCTACGAACGTGCGACTTATGTACAAAAAAAAAGTATGTATGAGAACTTCTATTTACAAGGGGTATGACCCAAACAATTGTAAAACGTATGTATCGCAAAAAAAAACAACAACAACAAAAAAACGGTAGTTTAATATGATGATGACTCTACGACGAGTAACGGTGGGATCTATATGGTACGTCACTTTCATGCTTCAAACACCTCGATAAAGCTCTAGTGTCATTGAAAATGTTTTTATGGACACGTAAAAAGAGGAACATGCATACATACGTTCCGGGGAATAGACACGGAGTGTACCCATTCTGTCTTCTTTCTTTCCTTGTATGTTGGTTTAAGTCAGGATTGAATGTGCGTCCAGCAAGAAAGATGCCCATAAAAAAGGCACACAGCATTGTTTGAGAAACACTTGATTATCTATGATTTCTGTATAGCTCAATATAGCTTTCCATATAACACCTCATGTGAAGGCGTTTTACATATTGCGGCGAAAGGTTTTCTCCACCCTTAAAGAGTCTACCGCCTGAGACTTGTGCTAAATTGTCTAGCATCTATACCCTATTGAAAATTTCATCAAGGTACGTAATTTGGGACACTGACTGTCAGTCAGTAGCCTTGGTGGAACGTGATGAACCATCAGACGTCATCTGATGGTCCATCAGATGACGTCTGACTGCCACTGCCAAGGGAATTTCATCAACAAGGGCAGCATTTATATAAGAGCAAAGCTATACGTAATCATAAATATCGCCAAATGCCTCAATAAAACAAAATGTTCGAGAGAAAAAAAAAAAAAAAGCAGGACTACCGGGCCTCGAATTCGCGACCACTTGCGTACATATCGGGAACCCTAACCGCTCTGCTATGCCACTGCTTCGGAAACTCGCTTTGACTATTCGTTTTATACGTGATGCTTCGGCTGCAAATCCAGTTAAGCCGTCAGCATGTTATGCGAAGCACTCGTACATCACTCGCCGTACTTCAGTTCTACTCACCTGCCCTGTAGAGTACTTTCGCGTCGTAGAACGATCCTTTTGTTCGCGCGTCACCGGCCGAGTAGACCTGGTACACCTTGCCTTCAACTACACCGCTAAAGTCCCTTTCATCGTCGGAACTCACAACAGGCTGGGTCTTGTCGAGTATAAATTCTACTAAAACATAAGACATTGTAGAGCCCGGGCAGGATCGACAGGTTGGAGCAAGTGGGCAAACAAAACGAGTCGAGAGCGATCGTTCATGATAGCTCGGCGAAGCCTCTATGGGCGAAGCGAAGTCAGCGAAGTGTCGTGTTCGGCCCTTGTGTTCGGCGCTTCGGCGGGCTTCTGATCAAGGTTGTCGGTCGGTTGCGTGTCATATCTCTAACGTCAGCGGTTTTATGGGCTCACGTCCCGAAATCGTTTTCTCGTGCATAGATTACTTTTCATATTCATAGATTTGACGAAATAGTGGTATCCGAACGAACTTTACGTCCTCTGACCGTACGTCTGTCTGCACGTCAAAGCTTTTTGACGTACAGTCAGAGACAATCGATGTACAGTCAGAATCGCCACCAAGACATCCTGATGGCATTTCGCGGCGGCCGACTGCCACCAGGAAACCATCAGAAAGCCGACAAGCGGAGTCTGACTGGAGTTTGACTGTCGGTCAGAGTAACTTGTTGGCCAATCAGACATGCTTAACGTACAGTCAGGCACAGTCAGCGGTCCACTAGAAAACATTGACTGCCAAACAGGGTTACATTGATGGGTTTTTCCTTCGGGTAGTAAAAGCCGTTTGTGGTAATAAAGTCTTGGTTTCTAATTTTAATAGACACGGGTGTCGAAATTTTAGGGGCATATTTAGGAAGATTAGGAATTTGTAAAGCGTGAGTTCCCAATAATTTTTCATTCAATTCCGTCACATTTCTTCGTTTCGTGACAAGATATAACCTTAGCGCTTCGCAATACATTTTGAGCGCTATATTCCTGTCTGTCGCCGTTCTTAAGCTCTCGCTCTCGTCTCTGCATAACGCATTTTGTTATATGCTAATCAGTAATACAAATTATAATTTTTCTATTGCATCTTAAGGGGTCTGGCTTGTAAAATATTTGTTTCACACAAAAGGAAAACTTACCATAAACCGGAGTTCGAGGTCGGCGTGTCGTTCTGCTTAGTTATATAAAATAATTGCAAAACAAATCTGAAGAATATTAATCACTTAAAAATAACCACCAACGGGGTGTGACTAGCAGACCAAGGAACACAACTGCGCATATATGACTAGAAAAGAAATACTCTCCTGGGACTAATGCACCAGTAGGTACTTACTTTCTGAAACTTCCCTAATTGACTTCTTCCAAAACCGACGCGCCCCATCGCGGCGAAATACCACGCAGTGAACTCTGGGAACTAGTTGGCCGCTGAGTTTCGGTTTCGAGTTAGCTGGTTTATCTCATGCTATCACGCCGCGACCGAACGCGCTGATTACGTTTTCGATCATCTGACTTTTACGAATGTACAATACACTCATTCTCGAGCGATACAAAATGAAGACCGGGGCACTTTCCTTGGTTCCCGAAACACCGGATATTGTGCGTGTGTTTGCAAACGTAGTAAGACGTGGCTTAGTCACCTTACCCCACGAGTGCATCTTTGAGCTCAATGTCAGTAATCCCGTCTAGTACTAGTGAACTACAACTGAAATTTGGTCACCTTGAGCCCTACACGTATTTTGTTTGCCAAACGTCCGCTTCTTGTTACTTCATAGGGCAAAAAGCAAGCCGCATCTTCACAGGATTATCAAAGTTGAGCCCAGCATTTGCGCATGAACTTTTAAAGAAACGCAATAAATTCGACCTCGCTACTGCACAAAAGTTACTATCATGTGTTCCTCGTGTGATCATATATCTCACACTCAAATTTTATGCTGATTGAAGATTAAGTTTTCGCAAACACTCGATCGGCTTGCTACGACGGAGGCCCTAACAAACGTCCCCTACTCCTCGGTAATCCTTTTTGAACGAGCTTTTCCTGACGCCCAATATCTGTGCCAAAACGGTGTGTCTGAAATTATCCCGGCATAGTCAGTCAGGAAGAAAGCAAACATATAACAAATCTTATAACCATAAGTAACCGTCAAATGCGCTTTGAATAATTTCGTTCGTTTGGCGCACCCCACAGGGGTTCATGCCCGTCCGGCGCCCTTCCGGTGAACGGTGCAAAATTCTTCACACAAGTGCTCGACTTTTGCTTTCTTAAAACGGTTTGTGTGTGCGAATGTGCCTATGTGCTTGGCAGGATAACCTTACGCGCATACGCGATGTAGAATATAAGTGGAATGCAAGCGGTTGGCAACTTCACTTCGTGCAGTCTGCGGGGCAGTACAGATAAGAGATGAGAAGTGCATGTGTTCAAATGGAGCTTTTCAATGCCGCCTCAGAGTTTTAGCTCGCGTACTCAGGCGTATTAAGAAAAACAGGGATCGCAAAAAGTTATATTTCGTCTATGGACGCACGAAAGAAACTGATCAACAATACTAATGTAAAGGCTCGAGCTCGATGTATGCATACTTATTGTTTGTGCTGAAGCTTCGAGGTCTGGCCATTTAGTTTAGTTTAGAGACCACCAATGACGCTCTCGAGACCAGAAAGCATGAGATAACGGCCGTTAATAGTCCAAGTTCTGTGTGTGGCCTCTTGTCGACGTGTCGATCGAAACGAAAACCATGCCACTTTCCTCCCTGGCCAACTAGTTCCCAGAGTGCAACGCGCGCCGTGTTGCAAGCACGGCTTCATGGAAGTAGTCTATTAACATATCCTTTTTCCTCTTGCCTTAAAAAGTCCGTCTGCATTGCGCAACCTTGAATTAATTTACCGTTATCCGACAACTTTTAGGGTGTAAGTACTCGTAGAAAGACTAAACATTACAATCTGACAATTTATTATCATAAATTGCCACAGATACTTAACAATTTCCGAAGACGGTGGTGCCAGCTGTCACTTGTTAAGTTTGGATATTTGGGCGAGTTGGTAAGGGTTCGTTCGAATTCGAGTTCGAGAGAAAAACAGCGGTTGTCCTGTGTATCTCTATTCTTTGTCATCGTCTTATTAACGTCATGTTTCCCGGTATCTTTTACTAAGCAGATCTCAATTCTTAAAAATAAAGAGTAAATGTAGTTTTGAATTGATTCCCAGGTTACAGACCTAGTCAGCGGAGAGTCTCTCGGCCCATATCAAAATGGTGAAATCGAAATTCACACACCATCCATTATGAAAGGCTACTATGGGCGTCCTGAAGCTACCGCTGAAGCTGTGAACTCTGGCGGCTGGTACCGTACAGGTACAGCAGTCGTCTCATTTGTTCTGCTATTAATGAGCACTACCAGTAATTCAATATCCTATATCAAGCACCAGCGGTTTTATTGTGCCTGTCTAGCTAGCTAGTCGGCATGCTTTTGCGCACTTCATCATATTTCTCTGCCAACAATTTCTTCGTCGAGTATATGTTAGTCAAGAATTGTGTGTTGTGAAAGTGGTAAACACACCCTCATAATTAAGACACAAAACCCTGAGACAAGGAAACAAAAAGGGACATACACACTGCCTCTTAAACCACCATAGCATACAGCTGTCATTTTTTGCGTGCTCGAGGCTTTCTAGTACTGTGAGTTTTCCTGTCCTTGAATGTGTATACTTTGGATGGAGTTTTTTAAAGTACAAGACCGTTGTGGAATTAAATGACAGCTGTATTCTGCGCTGGTTTGAGACGGCGGTCTGTATGTCCCCGTTTGTTTCCTTGTCTCAAGGTTTTATTTCTCGAATATGATTATTCACCTGCTCGCATACTTTCTGAATCGTATTTTAGACATACCCAGATGCGGTGCTGCGACAATAATTAATAACCCTAGATGTTTCAAATGTCTACTAATTTGCATATAGAAATGAATGTAGCCAGGAGACTATCCCCATGCTCGAATGTACAAAACATTTAAAAACGGCAAAATAATTATCGTTTTAAAGAACTCGAAATAAAGAAATGATTGCTTTGGGAGAACGCCATCGACCGCGGCACACACCAGACAACAAGTTTGAAGCGAGAATCTCAAAATGCATACATCAAATTTGCACTGAATGCTTTTAAACACACGCCCGAGCTTGCACATTTCAATCACAAATGTGTTTCTTGTCACCACAAGATGCCACAATCTGTTTGGAATCCAGACAACTGAATTCTGTCTCTCATTAATCTCTGCCGAAGTTAGGCTGTCTTGGTTCCGTCATACCAAAAATAACAATAAATAAAAACACTCGCCAATAGCTTAGCGCCAATAGAGTCATTATTGTTGCGAACCTGTTTTCATAACCATGTTAACTTTAGATTACCAGCTGAGGCTGACACACACAAAAAAGTGCGTGTTCCCCCAGAAAATGTACTGTGCCTTCCTTTGCAGTAAAAATACAATAGGCACCCCTGAACGCTCAGTCTCCCTCCAAATGACGGTAGTGAACAGACCAGATGTCAAAGTTTTAGGGCCTGCCGTTATGTATTTGAAAAATTGTAAGCCTTTTAGGAACGCAGCTCTTAGGCGCAGCCCTTTTCCGGCTTGAGCGGCGTCGCCGCCGGTGTAACACCGTGCGATGCATTAGGGGAATAATGCAAGCGGATGTAACCGCGCGTTGCATTATGGGAAAATTTCCCCGTTAAAATTAACGGAAAAATTTCCCCACTAAATTTAGCAGGAAATTTTGCAAACATTTCCCGCTAAATGAAAGGGGAGCAGATCTAGAAGAGGAGGAGGGGAACGAGGAGGGGCATACCTTCCCCTCTCCCTCCTCAATAATTCGACATTACAGAGAATTGTAAACATCCTTTTTTTAAAAATTTTCAATGGAAAAATTCTGTACGAGGAAGCCGTCGATTATATTAAAGCGAATGGCGCCAGCTACCGGGAATGAACCCTATTTCCCGTGGAAAGTTAAAAAAAAAGACGAACATTTGAAATGTATAGTGGTTATTTTTCAACACTTTGCGCCTGGTCCGAACCGTAGCGCAGATTGAGAGCCCGGCGATGAGTAGTCTACTTTGCAGTAAAAAATTACGCTCTAAATTTTTTTTTTCGGGGACGCGCTGTACATTAAGTTTAGTACAAAACTAAGATTATCTTCAAAGCGGATTGCAAGAAACTTGTTAATGCCACAAAAAAAACAATCATAAACCACTACGCGGAGGTACTGCTTGCATACGTTCTGCAGGGCCGTGGAGGCAGGACGAGGGCTAATTTCCGAACTGCAAGGCATATCTCTTCGTCGACACTTCTGACCTGCGTTAGAATTTGGTACTCACCGTGATGAGATCGAATCACCCTAAAGTTTGGCCTTAAAACAAAAACGTATGGCCATCACAACTCGTGAAGATGATATTTTGATTTTTAAGGTGATTTCGGCTACTACGACACTGAAGGACGGATTCATGTCATCGAGAGAATGAAAGAAATGATAAAATGCATGGACAATGTGGTCGCCCCTGCTGAGCTGGAAGATATTTTATTGACCCATAAGTCTGTCGCAGAGGTCACAGTTGTGGGTATTCCGAATCCAAAGTATGGCGAGGCTCCAACAGCTTGTGTCGTTCTTAAAGATTGCTTCAAGGGAAACCTCGAGAGCCTGGCGACAGAGTTGAAGGAGCTCATAGCAGGTATATGTCATCTTGACAATATTCACATTTCGTCCAATGATGTTTTGTTAGCATGTCCTACCTTTTGCATTTAGAAGTGTAAGTGGCAAGTCTAATGTACGAAATATGTTTAATAAAAAACACCGCTTATGAGCCACTTTATTTCGTGAAATGTAAAGTGAAGCATGAGTCCTTTTCTCGATGTAAACAATGTCACGCTAAAAACTACAAATACAAGAACAAACGCATTGTACTTAACACGCAGGAAAATAACACTCGTACACAATGCGGGGAATTATATCCAGGACATATTTTCCGTTGATACGATTTTCTTTTAGTGTTAAGCCGTTTATAAAAACATAATCTTAATACCTTCCGTGCCCAGGTAAGATGCATAGTGCCGTGCTTATATGATCCATAAAATAAGGCGTGTTGCATACATCAGAGCAAATGTTTTTAGAGGCAACTTTTTTTTAAATAATTCGATGTTTACAAGGCTTGCATGAGAAATATTGTGACAAATGCAAAGTTTCTATGCATAACCTTGACGATGTTAACTTCTGTTCTGTGGCACTTGGGTAACTTGAACTAACTTTGATTTGAGAGTGAAGATGAAAATTAACATTTAGTCACTGACAGAATTAGAACAGCACGGATGTCCTTTAGTTTTCTCTCGTCCAGTGCGAGCTTTCTAGCCTTGATAACGTCTCAGCGTCTCACGAACCTCGAGTGTGCATGCGAAGCCAAAGCAAGACTAAAAGAAATGAAGGCGTACTAGGGGACGGGCATGCTAAAGAGATTCCCTGGCTTCCTCAACCTCTCAATGGCTACCATCAACTTGCTTCCTGAAATGTTCGAGGCACGCCGGGTCAAATTTCTTCCCTTTCTTTCATGCCTTTTCTCAAAGCCACAAAGCTTCAAGAATATGAATCTATACACTTTAAGGTATTTTACCTGCACAATAAATAATCAGATGCAGATTGTGAAGCCTGTGGGAGATTGATTTGCATTTTCTTCGTACTTGTTTAACCTCGGCTTCTTGTTTGCAGGGCAAGCAGCAGTCTTCAAGCATCTGTACGGAGGAGTTGTTTTTCTGAAATACCTTCCCAAGTTTGATAACGGAAAGGTTAGGAGACAAGAACTCAAGACGAAGGTCGCTCATGAAAAGGAAATGTGGAAATAATAGTGGAGCCTGTCAGCATTTTAAGCGATACCTAAACTAATGCGAAACGCCCGACGAAGGTGCTTCTGTGTTTTGATAGTAATAAACACGTGTGTTTACCTCTAAGTACAACAGATCATGACACTGACATAAAGCACGAACTATCGATGCTATACAGATTTATAAAAATGGTCAAGACAAGTATTTTAGAGGGGAGCTCTTAGGCGCCCGTTTCCGGCCTGAGTGGCGTCGGCGTCGCCGTCGCCATTACCGCGAGGTCACGTGACCCATCAAGGTCACCCAAGGTCACGTGACACACCGAGGTCACCCCAAGGTCACGTGACCCCCTCCCCGAGGTCACGCGACCCCCCCTCCCCCCCCCCCCCCGAAGTCACGTGACACCACCCCCCGGAAGTCACAATACCCCCTCCCCCAAGGTCAGGTGACCCCACGGAGCATATCCAAGAAGGGGGGGAGGAGGAGGAGAAGGAGGAGAAAAGGGAGGGGTCTACCCCAGAGTGTCGAACCGAATTTTTTATCGGTTCGGTTCCGGTTCGGGTTCACGGCTTTCGGTTCGGTTCCGGTTCAGTTCCGGGGAGCAAAAAATAGCGGTTCAAACCGGTTCGAACCGGCTCGAACCGGTTTGAACCACTGAATTGAGAATATATTTCCTGCGTTGTTCTTGCAATTGGCACTATTTACGCCTCGAAACGATTAACTATATAATTTATTTTATCGTCCGAGTAGTTTACTTTTGTTTTCAGGTACCAAAAATATGAAATTCTGTTAGTAAATTCAGCCTGCATTAACGTACACATAACGTCGTGTTCACACGACTTAACATCTCTTTGTTTACCAGTCACATATTGTTTACCTGAATCCAAATGTTTGATTACAACAATAAAGAGTTGAGCTTGTTGGTACATACCTGTAAATATATCAGCTTGAAATTTAGAACAAACTGGTCTTTTCCTGCCCTTTCTTCGTTCTATTTCTAAAATTCTAAAGTTAAAATCTGATCTATTTACACGGTATAAAATGTTGTCGCGAAGTGCGGTAGGTCGCATAAAATATCCGTGATTAGTACAGCTTTGTGTCGCAGTATTAAAAGTTAAATTGTGATTGTGTCTTTGAACTAAGGAATTAATTGCAGCACAACAAATCATGAAATGATCACGTCGTGGCCATGGATATCATTAAATATGGATTACGAAATACGTTTCACAACACACACACACACACACATATATATATATATATATATATATATATAACGGGCATGGTGGCGAGAGGCCGAAGGCGTGGGTATAAAACTGAGAAGAAAAAAATCCTTAGTGAAAACAGCAACAACGGACGATTTAATCTTCGGCGTTTCGGCCGGAGTCCGGTCTTCCTGACGAAGGCCGGACTCCGGCCAAAACGTCGAAGATTAAATCGTCCGTTGTTGCTGTTTTCACTAAGGGTTTTTTTCTTCTCACTTTTTTATATATATATATATATATATATATATATATATATATATATATATATATTGCCGCGCGTCAAGTAGGCAGCGCGGCCGTAGCCTAACGGTTATCGCGCTTGCCTCCCACGCGAAGGGCCAGGGTTCGATTCCTGGGAGCGACCTGTCTTTTGTTTATCACTGCATTGTAGTGTTCTGGCAAATTCGAGAATCCTGGCGCTTGTTCGAGGTGCGAATGTTCTACGCGTCGAACTTTCCACGCCGATTATTCCAGAAGCCCACGCATGTACATAAGGGGCTCCGCATGGCGAGCCACATTCAGTTTCGCCCCAGCGTTCGACTCTGCTGTTACGCCGACTTCGACGCCCGCGACGCTCTCTTTATTATCTTTTGTACACTTTTATTTTTGGCACAAGTTCGCCACATTAAACGTTTATTTATTCCTGTTTATTTCTTGTTTATTGGTCACCACCCGTGACATTTTGGTGGAGGTGCGGGGTACCCGCATGCCCGTGCAGCGCTCCCCTCCGAGTTCCAGCAGTGCAAGTCCGGACCCAGCCTCCCGAGGACCGAGCGAAGACCAGATCGAGACCCGATCCAGTCGCCGCACCCAAGGTCTACCCCCGGAACACGGACTTCTGCCACCCCGGACCAGGCAGCCAACGAGGCCGACGATGGACAACCAGTCGTCGCAGAACCCGTCCGCCGCCGCCGTCGTATACCTTCCCGTCGCACCCCGGACTCCGACGCCATTCCACGGGGAGGTCCACGAGGACGTTGAAGATTGGCTGCAACATTACGAACGAGTTGCTCGCCATAACGCATGGACTCCGGAGCAGTGCCTTCAGAACGTCTACTTCGCTCTGGAAGGCACGGCACGCACCTGGTTCGAGAACCACGAAGCGTCAATTTTGTCGTGGCAAGACTTCCAGACGGAACTTCGACGCACGTTTGCCAGCCAGCAGCGACGCCAGCGGGCCGAGGAACTTCTTCAAGCAAGAAGCCAAGGGCCAAACGAGAGCGTCACAAGTTTCGTCGAGGACGTTCTCCGCCTCATAAACCGCGCCGACCCAAACGCTCCTGACGAGAAGAAGCTGCGGTTCCTGATGCGAGGGGTGAAAGAGACCATCTTTGGAGGCCTTGTCCGCAACCCCCCAGCCACCGTCAAGGATTTCGTCAAGGAAGCCACAAACATCGAACGGGCCCTGCAAGCACGGGTCTCCCATTACCAGCGACTTCCCGGCGTCGCTGCCTTCTCGACTTCCAGCTGCACCGGCCCGGACCTCCGCGACATCATCCGGGACGTCGTGCGGGAGGAAATCAGGAAGCTTCTTCCTGCTGCCGCAAGCCCGGATTCGCCCTCAATTGCCGTGATTGTCCGGGAAGAAGTTCAGAAGGCGCTGCAGCCACAAGCTCTTGTCAACGCCGCTCCCGAACAACCGACACTGAGCTACGCCGCAGCTACCCGACGACCACCGCCCCCTGCTCACCCGTACACCGCGCCACCCCGACGTGAACCTCCAACGCCGCAGTTTCCCCGACGCCAGGAAGATCGGGCGCACGCCCACCCAGAACAGGCAGCGCCACGAAAGACCGACGTGTGGAGGACAGCGGATCGACGACCCCTGTTCCATCACTGCGGTGAAGCCGGCCACAGTTACCGTCGATGCCCCTACAGACAACTGGGGCTGCGCGGGTTCCACCCGAGCGACCCGCGCCCAAGATACGACGAACGCCCTCGCGACATTGAGGAGTACCTCCTACGCTCGCCCTCCCCGGTGTCGTCTCTCCGCCGTGAAGCCCGCTCCCCATCGCCACGACGTTCAGCGTCTGCAGTGCAACGACCCCGCCAACAGAGCCTATCTCCCCTGCGTCGCCGGGAAAACTAAGTGCGGCAACGGCTGGAGGTGACGTTGCCGAAAACGACGGAAGCAAACAGCCTCCAAGAACGCCGGAGCGCTCCCACTCTACCGACGCCCAGCATCGTACTGACGTCCCTGCAGCGGTGTCCAACAGGCTAAACGTTGTTATTGACGGCCTCGACGCATCGGCACTCGTGGACACCGGAGCGGACTACTCAGTCTTGAGTGGGAGGCTCTCTCGCCACCTGCGAAAAGTGAAGACGCCGTGGGATGGACCCCAAATATGAACCGCCGGAGGGCATCTCATCACACCAGTCGGAAGATGCACCGCTCGCGTCAAGATCCATGGGGAGACGTGCCCTGTGAAATTTGTCATTCTACAAGACTGTGCCAGGGACGTCATTCTCGGCATGGACTTCCTGTCTGAATACGGCGCCGTCATCGACCTTCGTGAAAACAGATTAACGCTGCGAACCCCTGTGCCACCTTCAGAGAAACCCCAAACAGCGTCAGCCGCCATCCGAGTCGCTGCCGACCACGTGAACCTGCCACCGCGTTTAAGTGTTATCGTACCCGTCGTGGCCGATACAGCTACCTGCGGCGAAGTTGTCCTGGAAGGCAACCTTCAATTGCTCCTGGGAAGAGGAATAGGCGTCGCAAGAGGAGTAGCTGAACTTCAGGATGGGCGGACTGTGGTCCTCGTGACGAACTTCCGAAATGAAACGCAACACCTCACAAAGGGTGCCGCTGTGGGCCACGTCGAGAAACTTCGTAACTCCGCCGAAATCGCCGCGATTGCTGAAGAATCATCACCACCTCAGCAAGGCAGTAAGTCGCCAGCGCAGCTTGACATTGACCCTAAGCTTCCGGGCCCAAAACTACGGCAGCTGATTAACCTCCTCACCGAGTACCGCGGCTGCTTTCCGACGTCGTCGAGGGTGCGCCAAACTGCCGTTGCGAAGCACCGAATCGTTACCGAGGACGACGCGCGCCCTGTGCATCGATCGCCGTACAGAGTCTCCGTCAAAGAAAGGGAGGTGATCCAGGAGCAAGTCCAAGAGATGCTGAACGACGACATAATCCAGCCATCAAGCAGTCCTTGGGCTTCTCCAGTCGTACTGGTTAAGAAGAAGGACGGAACGCTTAGGTTTTGCGTGGACTACCGGCAGCTGAACGCGGTGACGAAGAAAGACGTCTACCCACTTCCCCGCATCGACGACACGTTAGACCGGCTGCGCCACTCTCGATACTTCTCATCGATGGACCTGAAGAGCGGCTACTGGCAGATCGAAGTCGACGAACGGGACCGAGAGAAGACAGCTTTCGTCACGCCGGATGGGCTGTACGAGTTCAAGGTGATGCCCTTCGGACTATGCACGGCGCCAGCAACTTTCCAGCGTGTCATGGACACCGTACTGGCAGGACTGAAGTGGCAGAGCTGTCTCGTCTACCTCGATGGCGTCGTAGTGTTTTCCAGCGACTTTGACGAGCACCTACGACGACTCCGTGCTGTTCTTCAAGCCATACAGACCGCCGGACTCACCCTCAAGCCGTCAAAGTGTCGGTTCGCCTATGACGAACTGAAGTTTCTAGGTCACGTGATTAGTAACGAAGGCGTTCGCCCCGACCTAGAGAAGACTCGCGCCGTCGCGTCATTTCCAGCGCCGACAGCCAGGAAGGCCGTGCGAAGATTCCTT